AGTTGAGTTGAAGGTCCTGGTGATCTCTTTGATTGCTCATTTTCTACGTGTATTAGCGGAGCTCCAGGTTTTAGTGGGTCAGGAGATCTTGATGATGGGGTAGCTTGCTGCCCTGGAGAGTCTCCCAGCCCCACATGACGCGACCGGCAAGCCGTAACGGCGGACTGGCATAAGTGCAGTTGTGCATTTCCTGGTGGTGGATGTGTCAAGCGGGGTTTGTTTGTTTTGCCTCGTACCCTAACTTCGGCCTTTGGGAGACGATTGGATCGGCTTCGATGATCCCTTCGGGGTGAGGGGAATCTTAGTATATATCTGAGGGTCGTAGCGATGTTCGTCAGGTCGTCAGGTCCGCCATCTTCGTCAGGTTGATGGGGATCTTTGTCAGGTGTCTTACTTTCGTCAGGTTGTTTGATAATCGATCAGATTTTGAGGAATCATCTTACCATGCCGTGTTGATGGTTGCGGCGCCGGCCGCGACGGCCGGGTCTTCCACCCCGACCAGGGCCTTGCCCTGGACCCACCCTGCCGGGGGCTTCGCTCGCCGCGGGGCCCGCTGCGCGGTGCATGTTTCCCTTCTCTTTTCATTTTCCTTCCATTTTTTCTGCCTTTTCACGTCCTTTGTGCTCTCAGTTGCGGCGCCGGCCGCGACGGCCGGGGTTTTCCACCCCGGACCCCGACCGAGGCTTTGCCCCGGACCCCACCCTGCCGGGAGCTGCCGCTCGCCGCGGAGGCCCGCTGCGCGGAGCCCGGTAAATTCAACATCTTTACCATTTGCTTGGCAACTAACGAAAATCAGCCTAAATCAATCAAAGATCTGCATAAAAATGACACCTGACGAAAACCGGCGACCTGACGATCTGACGAACATGAATTCCGCCCTATATCTGATTGTGTACTGGGATGCTTCTAAATGCTATATAAGTTCCACAGAAGTGCCATCTGTCCCTGACATTTCATTGGACCAATAGTTGCTTAGTAATAGCCAAATTGATGCTTACTAGCGCTTACTTTGACAATAATGAGTAAAATGCAAAAAATAAATCCCAAACAAATCATACTTATAGTTGTTGCCAATACTATTGGCAACAACTATTGTGGAAAAGACAATGTAGATTGTTTGTTTGTTTATTTGATATGCAATGCACTACTTACAGCAAAACCTACAATGGTTTGAATACTTATGGTCATTCAATTCCGAGTGAAATCCCATTAGTCTGTCAATGATGACATGGGATAATAGGTAATGCCAAGGTGATGTTACTAACCTTCCCGGTATTTTACCTCTGTTTATCCCTCATTACCCCAGATGAACTTCTGGGATGGTAATTTGAGGTAAAGTGGAAAAGTAGGTTTTTCCTGATGACTACTAGTACTTATCGGGTACAGTTTGTTGTATATACAAAAAAGAGGGGAAAAATATAGTGGTCCAATAATTAGGCTCAATATTCAACCTCATCATGAATCCGTTTGTGCCATGACAATTGTCAGCCCATCTCCAATCATATGTACCTGCGTTTGAAATTGCTTGGCCACTGTTACATGCAACACCTGGAAATTTCTGGTTTCATATTTCAGTATTTTGGAGTATACTGCTTTCTGAGTGTGACTACAATGCTTTCTAGAAACTCCTCCGTACTCGACATGCAAACAAAACGAAAACGAAAACGACACTTCACAAAGCAGAGCAGACTCTATAGGCCTTCGATGGTGGGATCTTCCCCACCCTCAATTACCCCGGCCGCTCGCGTCCTTCGTCGCCTAGTCGCGGACGCGCTCCCTTTCCTCCTCGCGGTTGAGTTCACCGTCCTCCGCCCGGCCGTCTTCAACCGCGAGCGCCACCGCGTCCTGTCCCGGTTCTCGACCTGCACCCCAGCAGCAATCAATTCGTCCGCAATGCGCACCCAGGGACTGCTGCCGATCTCCCGTCTGACAGAGGCCAACCTAAATCAGAACACAAAGCCGAACATTCGATGACTCACTCTGTCGTCGGCCATTCAAAACGCGCGTCGAGGACGACGTGCCGCAGCGCAGGGAGCCAGCGCGGGATGACATGTGCCGCAAACTCCACGAAGAAATCCGCCCAGGAATGACCGTGGTCTCTGGCAGAAGGCAGCATGAGCACGCAGAAATCGCTGGCGGTTCGGGGAAATCACCGCGGCGCCAACTCGAGAATATGGAATGTGAGGGTGTGGAGGGAGTGGTGCGCGTTTTGCGCGTCGAGCAGGTCGACAGTGGGGATGCACTGCCCCGAGTGTCGGCCTTTCGTGTTCTAGCAGCACATCAGACATGGTGACTACAATCGCGGGACTGACCAGGGTCATATTGGTGAGATTAGGGCACAAGTCCAATACACAGATGACGGGACAATCAGAATCCGCCCGTCGCATCGCGCCGAGTGTGTTGACAGAAACATCCAAAGTGACCAGCTGATTTCCATGTATGAGGAGGACCCAATGACAGTAAAATGCGCATTTGAAGGTGAGATGGCGGAGGGAGGGGAGTCTGGGTGGAAATTAGCGCACATAATATCGCCGGTAAACAAGCGCAAACATACACAGTTCGCATGAGCGCATCAAGAAAAGCGATGTGGTCCTGCTCGACTACATGTTCCCGAGAGTCGGTCAACGACACGAATTGGATGTATCCTGCGTATTTTGGGTGCGAATCGAGGGTTCTTGCGAGTAGGGTCCACGCGCGAAGGGATCGAAGTGAGATCTTCTGGTAGACGGGCTTGATTGCTGCGGCCTATGATCCAATCAATGCACCATGACATCGCATCTTGAGAAAGACAAAGGAATAGACAAACAAGGAAAAGCTTTGAGACAAGGAGCAAGTTGTGCGAGCAGTCGGCAAGGCCCACGCTGTGTAGTTCGTCGCGGTATACAAGAGTAAAAGAAAGAATGCGCGACCAGATGTGTTTCTGAACATCAAGCGGCGCAGTAGCCATGGGATGGAATGATGGATCCGGGAGGGGCAGGTCCGGTATAGTATACGGCGCGCCACCCCGACGGTTGCGCTCCATCTGGTGATAGGCAAGCCGCGATATGCGAGGTTTTTCCGCAGGACACGACCGTAGCTCCAGTTTTATGGGCCGGTCGTCGGCCTTGAGTTTCGCCTTTATACGACCGTCGTTGCTCGAGCCAGCGTGCCATTCTTCTGATTTGATTTCCAGCACGCGGAGTGGGCATTGCTTGGAGTGCTCATATACATATTCGGCCTCGGAGAAGTCCGCGACGACGATATGGGTCAGAGTTTTGCTTCCTGCGATGGCGCGTGACAAGAATGGTCGGCTTGCACCCAGATAGCTGGCGGCGCTGATGTCGAGGCACACCTGGTGCTTCAGATGAGCAATATCAAGGAGCAGACAGCGCAGCACACACCAGCCGGTCCCATTTCGGTATGGCGGACACGAGCGCGCCCGCTAGTCCCTGATTCGCGTTGTTGGACTTGAAGCCATTCAAATCGAAGATGACTCTCCGCGGGCTGACGCGCTCCAGCCCCTTGCACAGCCCGTCCGTCTTGTCCGCGCTGTACATGTTGAACGCGAGAAACAGGTCGGTGATGTTCGGTGCATTGGTCAGCACCTTGTGCATCGACGCGCCATAGCCGCCCTCGACACGCAGCTTGCGGATAAACGACCCCAACAGCGGGTTGTTGCCGAGCACGGCCGCGAGCGCCTGGGCCTGGGCCTTGGACCGGATGACGACGACGTTGTAGAGCAGCGGCGTCGCCACCCGCAGCCAGGCCTTGCAGACGACGAGATAGGCAGAAGTGGACTCTGAAAAGCGCACAAATGGCGAGCGGCGGCCGTAGCCCAAGGACTGGGTAAAAAGGTCGTCGTCGACGTCGAGGGCAGGTGCGAGGATCTCGGAAATGATTTCGTCGGGAAGATGTGGTGCTGGGAATGTGGGCACTGGCATATGCGACGCTGATTTCATGAAGTGAGTATTTGGTGAGCGAGGGTCTCAGGGCAGCGCTCACAGCCTGCAGCGATGGCGACTGGGCCCGGGACGGTCAGTGGCGGGTGCAGCTTCTGCTGGAGGGAAAACTTTGAGTCAGAGAGCGGCGCCTACAACTTGTCAGGATTCGAATGCAGGGTCACGAAGTTAAATCGCACTCCGGCAACCAACTCACACCATCGCGATCAGCCCTCAATAATGCTCCTGATGGCCACAATCGATTTTGATAGGCCCATCCCAAAATTATCCCCCTTCAAGTTCCCGCATTGACAGTCCGAATCACCCATGGCCCGAGTGGCAGAATAGGTTGCCCAAACCGGAAAGCAAGAGCATGGAGATGGGCCCGGGAAATGGAGGGTTAGCGTCAAGGCTTGGTCAAGGCTCGAGTTTGGTTTCGAAAAAAGAAGCGGTGTACATGCATGTGACGTCACTGACGTGCCCGATCTATAGACTATAGGCTGCTACAGAACTGCTACAGTGCTACAGTATCCATGAGAGGTGCATGTCATAGTGCTACGGTAGCGCAATACATCGGGCACCTTGTCTACATGACTATGAATACTACAGAATGTGTCGTAGTGCTACCCAAGATGAAAACAGGCTCCCCAACGACAACAGTGTCTAAAGCCCAGAGAACCATCAGAGGGAGATCGTCGTCCCGACTAAAACGATACCCCGACTTGAAAGAAGAGTTTCGCAACATTATTTCCGACAAAATTGAGGCCTAGGCGGAGAATGCTACGAGTAAGCTCGCAAGTCTTCTCCTTACGGTAGACGGGACCTTGAGTGCTGAAGAACTGCAGACTTGGTAAAAACGGAAGCCAGCTCGCTTGTTAGCGCTACGGGTATGTGGAACTTAAGGGCATTGTACAAACGTTCATTATCATCATGATGGCATAAGGGGTGTATGTGTTCTCTCTTTCAATTTGTTCTCTCTGGTTGCGATAATGTGAAGTCAGAGTAGAGAAGATTCAAATAATACCAATTCGTGCAGTCCCATTTGACCAAAATCCGTGGATGCGACAGAACACAGACAGTCCGCTACTTTCTTTTCTTCCCGCCCTTCTTCCCACCGCCTCCTCCACCAACAGCGGGTCCATCGACTGAACTGCCTTGTGTCGCCCCACCTCCGCCTTTTCTGCGCCTGCCCGTGCCAAACGTCGAGCGCTCGCTCTTCTTGAGCCAGCGCTCCGGGTCTGGTGGTGGGGTCACGCCCAGCACGACGCCCGGCGGAAGCTTGACCTTCTTCTTCGGCTGATCCTCCTGTGCGGGCTTTGCGGGTGCCTGGGCGGGCAGCGCGGACGCTGTGGGCAGTGGCGGGGGGGCATCTTCGAGCTGGGCGGCGCCGGAGAGGGCGGACAGGCCGCGGAGGTAGCCGGCGTTGATGAAGTCGAGGTGGGTCGACGCGGCTTGCGTGTTGGTCGCGATATCCGCGTGTTCTTCGGCTGTCTATGGGAAGATTAGTAGCAGAAAGAAAGAAGAGGCAGGGCTATACCGGTGCGGAGTCGAGCAGGTCGTTGTAGATGTCAAGCGTGGCCTGGTATGCGCCCTCGCGGTAATTCTGGGCAAGCCCTCGTTAACACTCGCATGGGGGGAAGACGGAGCACACACCAACTGGGCGGCCAAATGCCTTGCTCCCCGTTCCTCCTCCCCGATCCCGTCCAAAAGCATACGCGCCTCGTCGCGTTGCTGCAAAGAGTATAGCGCATACGCCTTCTCAAAGGCCGACTCTGCCGGGAGACCCTCGATGAGCGCCAACGCTTCTCTCGGCTGGTCCGTCGTCAGCAGTAAGAACAGCTTCGTCTGCAGCGCGTCTTCGTCGCCCGGAGCCAGTCGCAATACTACACTTCCTCGTGAACAACCCAGAAATAAAAAGAGAAAGCGCACTCTTGTCGCAAGTCTTGATAGCGCTCGCATGGTGTCCGCCATCGATTTGCGCGCACAACGTTTTGAACAACCGCGTCAACTGCGCGGGCACCGTCGGAGCCGGCCTCGTCTTCGGTTTTGATACATGTTTGGCCGCAGGAGTCGCCTTGGGCTTCGTTTTCGCTGGCATGACGAGAAAAGGAGCTGCGTCATCATGTGACTAGCGCGTCACAACTCCTCCAGTTCCGACTTCGGCACCCGCTGTTGACTTGCGCATCCGGAGGTGATCAAACGAGCATCGCACGCTGTCCTTCTCCAACAATGCGGCATTGCAGAGGACCCCCGACAACCCCCTTAGATGCCGAAGGCCCGACCGGGTAAAATTTGCGGAAATTTTTGCCAAGGCCGGAGGCAAACTGGGTAAAAATGGCCCAATTTTGGCCGGGGGCCTCAGGTGTAAGACTGGGTAAAAGTGACCGTCGTCTGGGGGAGCCAGAGGCCCAACCGGGTAACTTCTCCCCTCACTTGTTCTTGGTGTAACCGGCCGTACTCCGCGTGGTCTGTAGCCCCTATTAGGCTGCCGACGTCGTTCGATCCCGTCTTGAGCCAGTTTTCTCTCTCTGAAATGCGCTCTAGCCGATTTCTGACCTCGCGCCTTTTTTAGCACGACCCTGTAAGGCTGGAGGTCGAAACTGGGTAAAAATGGGCCCTTTCCGGAGGCCGGAGGCAAAATTCGGGTAAAAACTGGCCAAAAACGCTCAAAAAAATTCGGGTAAAAACCCCCAAACCCGGCCTCCGGCCTCTAAGGGGGTTGTCGGGGGTCCTCATTGCAGACGAACAGAAACGAGTCACCACCACCCACCAACATTGCTAGCACCCGAAAGTATGCCACGTGAGTGACCGTGACACTACTATCCTTGTTGTTTGCTCCCAAGCCGAGCAGCACCAAGCAAGCAACCTATTCCTCAAATCTGCCCTCGAGCCCCGAGCCATATCGATCTCTTCCATCCATAGCCGAGCCAACAACTTTACGCTAGCGCTCAACTTCCGATTCTGGCTATCGACATCAATCGCGCCTGTCTGTCTTGGCTCTCATGTACGAAGACCCCTACGACTTCCCAGCCGCCGAACTCCTCTCATTTTTTCGCCATCCCCGCATCCGGTCCGACTCACCCAGCGATGCGAATCCTCCGCTCAGCAGCTCGGACATCGTCCGCCTCCGGGAAGAGGCAGCCCGGATCGTGAAAACGATAAGCACATTGACAATCCAGCTAGAAGAGATCCAGCAAACGCTCGCCGCCGTCGTGTACCCAGTCAATACCCTTCCCGCCGAACTCCTCTGCCGGATATTTGCGGCAGCCGCCGTCTCGTCCTCTCCTCGGAGCCAGGTCAACTACACACTGTTGCACATTACCGCGGTGTGCCAACGATGGCGGAGTGTTGCGCTTGCAGACCCCCGCCTGTGGACGCGCGCGTGCTACTGCATCGATGGCGAAAATCCCGATCTGCTGTTTGAGCACTTCATTGCCCGCACCCAAGGGCTGCCGATCGCACTCTCCATCATAGGTGGTGATGAGTATCGCGAAATGCGCTTTCCTGACCACATCTTCGCCTCTGCTTCCCAATGGGGAGATGTAGATTTGTCTGCAGACTGGGGAGAGCCTTTGATCTTGACGCTCGACACACTGAGTACCATCGCTGCTCTGGAACTTCCGCGGCTCACAAAGATGACGTTCGATAGCTTGACTCTTCCAACACTCGCTCCAGCTCAGCACCCAAAGTTCCACGCGCAAAGCACCCCCCGGCTCAGCGAGCTCGCTATCAGTATCCCGAATTTGGTTCTCGATCTTGCTTTTCCTGCACACCAATTGCGGAAACTAACTATTCTTCGCCCGGCATTCTACCGCGACATTTTGTCCCTCCTCCCTCACCTTGTAGCCTTGGAGGAGCTGTCGCTGGCCTCACTTATGACCGACATGAGTCTCGACGACGACGAGCAAAGATCACTGTTGACGATGCCCCACCTCTCTGTCTTGTGCCTCCTCGGCCAAGAGAGCTCCGTCATCTTGTACTACCTCGTCCTACCCTCCCTCACATCCCTTCATGTCTCGGATTTTGATGACAATGATGTTGAGTCTGCTATCAACCCATGCATTGTCCGCTCGGCCGCAAGCGTTATATCCCTGGCGCTGGTGCCTACCACTTATGATGCCTTTAGTTGCATGTTGTCATCTGCACTGGCTTCTGTAAAAGACTTGACGGTAACGTTATTCCCTATGGACGACTACGATGGACGATGCTGTGCGAAGGGCCTCGCCGACCTCGATACGCTTCCTCACCTTGAGTCATTCACCCTCGTGGTCCCTGTCGCTACCCGGGGCCCCGTCAACATCCGTCCGTTCCTAGACGGAGTCGCCATGCGAGTCACTAGCGCAATGCTCGCTCACTCAGTTTGTCGTCGAATTTCCGCCATATGGTATTTCTCCCGAGGACATGCGCGACCTGGAGCACCTCCACCGACAGCTTGGCGTGCCTGTGCGCATGCCGAAGGGCTATCCGGCAGGACTGGTGCAGAAGTCTTGGGATTGTCAGGGTCTTCAAGACAATGACTTGGAGGGCCTTGATTCCGATTAAACCAACAGATCAAGGCCCAAGCCTCTGGCAGAGTATGTACAAAAAAGTAGGAGTAGGATTGGCCTGTCAGTCCTATTGAATAGCACTCAATCCTGCATAGAACTTTGACACACAAACTGTTATTAGCTATCAAATTACCTATATGCCATACAAGAACAAATGGTAGATCTATTCTGACAGCTATTCTGTCAGGGGAAACCCTGATGCCGTCACTTGATCCCATCAAGCGCTGCGTCTCCGCTCGCGTCTCCGCGTCTCCGCACCCTGACGCTCTCCCTCCACTACCTGCACCACACCCCACATCCAGTGATCCCGAGTCTTCGACTTCCCTGGCCACTCCCCTCCGGAAGTCCCTCCGGAATCACCATCAGGGATCACTAACGCCATCGGAGACCTCTCCGGATGTGGACGCACCACTTCCCTCTGAGACCTTGAGCCTATGGCCTTCTAGCCTCTCTGGGCTGTTACTTATCAAGGTCTCCCTACGATCTCTATCCGCTGGACCTCTTGGGTGTCCCCAACCTATGTCAGCGTTCGGGCTTACGTTCGGATGGCTGAGCTTTGCCATGGCTCCGCTCTCCACTCCGCCACCATGGCCCCTGTCATCGGGTCTTCCCCTGGGTGAGGCCTACTGCCGTTAAGGCTCATGCCTACTGCAGCGCCCCAGGCTGCATGCCCTCACACCTCCACCTCTCTGGAGAGGGGACGTCTCCGAGTGACCCCCTGTCGCTACCCTCCAGTGGTCATGGCTGGCTGCCATTCCTATTGGTCCTCTTCGACACTCCCCGGCCCTTGGGCTAGACCAGACTCCTTCCCTTTCCGCTCCACTCCGTTTCCGGCCGTCACGTCACGGTCACACACCCGGAGTCGATTTCGATTCCGATTCTGGTTGTCACGTCACGGTCACAAACGGAGACGCCCAGAGGCAGCCTGGACCTCCCGAAGCCCTTCTTGGGCCTTCTAGGGATGCCTGGGCCCCTCCCTTGGCATCACGGTCCCAAACCGGGCTACTCGACACTCACCTAGGGTCCATTAGCGACACCTGACTTCTCCAACCCGTCATCCGTTGCTACGCAGTCACTCTATCATTACTCCGGTCACTAGTATATAGTAGTACACCTGGGCAGAGGGCTCCTTGGCTTGTTCTCTAAGGATTCCCCCTCTGCTCAGGTGAGTCTGTAGCGTCCCTTCCTGTTGTAGTAGTTCACTAAGGATTCCCCCTCTGCTCAGGACTCTGATTTCAAGCCTCGCGAGGTTGCCTTTACATATTCATTGAACATTTTGTGCACTAGGTTTGGATGGTGGATGTACAGGATGATTGTGACCATGTCATAGATAGATGATGCACTGAAATTTGTATTCTGGATCCTAGTTATACTCTGTTCCATTCTGTGAACGAACTGGGATGAACATGATAAGTTACGTTGGGCATGGATGATGGACAAGGAATCATATTTGCTTGGTGAATTGTTACTGATGACATGGCGATAGGCTGTCAAGAAGGTGATTCTCTTTCCCTCATACTATACTATTTAGATCAAGTGTCCACACCTTTTTGATTTTTTGGACCCAAAAAATTTTGTTCTGATTTAAGGGGATTTTTAACAAGGAGTTTTTTTTTGTCATTGTAATTGTAACACAGACACTTGATCTAATTAGTACAGTAATATAAGAGATAGACTTGACTTGCAGCAGTTTTTAAGCCTTATATGGGGATGGACTGACAAAGCCCAGGTGAGATTGAGGTCAGCTGTCTCTGTAGACAGCTCTGGCCATCATTTTCTAGAACTAGGGTGCTGTGAGTTGAACCTGTTTTGAAACCCTGTGTAAGGGCAACCCTGGAGACTCCGACGAAAGCTTAGCAGGGGAGGATCCAAAGAGAAGAAACTCTAAGGGTCCGCCTGCTAGGGCGCCAACTATATACTGGTCGTCCGTAACTGCCAACATAGAGCGCAGAAGGCCTGAGCGGCATCGCAGGCTCTGTCCCAAGGTGATCGTTGGGAGGGTCTTGACAGATCGGTGATTGTGCGGGCAAAGGAGGCCGAGGGCGAGGGTCGAGGTAGGTCGGAGCGTCCGAGGGGGCATCAGTCGGATGTGCCTCGGATGTGCTCGGACGGTCCAAAGGGGGCCGAAGCGGGGGTTCCCCTGACCCGTTTCGAAACGGTTTCGAAACAGGTGTGAGTTTTGAAATATCTGCAGACCGACCGTGGTTTCGAAGCAGGCATGTGACATATCCGGGATGCTGGGACATGTGTCCGGCATGTGAATCGGGCTCCCGGGACTGCAGCAGTAGCTGCGGAAACATGTGCGGCTCATGAGCATGTGTTCTGATGTGCCGGAACTCATGTATGCATGGCTCGCTCAGTGGGCCGGCCCCTCTGTCATCCACCCTGTCTGGCTGTCACCAGCCGGCGGTGACTTACCTCATCAAGCCGCCCAGTTTCAAAACATTCTTTTTGAATTACTCACAGCACCCTATCTAGAACATACTAGAACAAATTCTCATTAACATTTGCAGGCACATCAACATTTGCAGGTACATGATGGTATTGTGGTGATTGCCAGATAGCCAAA